CGGTTATTGGCCGTGCGGGCAGAAGGGGCGCGCTCCGAGTCCTCCTCCCGCCAGCTCCCGTCCGCCTCATTTTCTCTGAGCAGAACTTCGCGGACAGCAGTGCTCGCCCATCATGGCAGTTCCAGGTAACGGAGCCCGGCCGTGCGCTTCGGGATCGTGGCTTCACGGCTTTCTTGCGTACGAGCTAACGAGGAGCGTGGCGAGCCTGCGTTCTGGGGTGCAAGAGCCAGAGGCAGCGGGCGCGCCTCTCGGTCGGTCTGCCCTGGGCTGACGACAGGGTGTTAGCCGAGAAGCAACTTCTGTCTTCTCGGAAAGAATATTGCAAGAGTTGTTCGGAGGCCGTGGGCGGGGAGGGGGGAGGCTTCTGTGCGTTTTGTTTCTGGGCTGGGAATTGAAACGCCCTGTCTGGCTTAGTGGGAGAAGAGGGACGGGGAAAGTCGAAACGGACGCGTAAGTTAGCCGAACCCCACAAGTGCTGCCTCCCAGCCCTGGAGGCCGGACCGGCTCAGAACAATAGCTGGGGAATACGCCGAGCGTGGATTCCCGTCGCTGGAGCCTGCCCTTGGCAGAGAGGGGGACGCGGGGTTTCTCGCAGGGATCAGACAGCGGCTGCGGAGACCTGAAAGTGGGTATTTGGCTTTGGTCCCTCTGTCTCTCGCTCCTTCCTCATCCCTCTGTCTTTGCTTTTTTTTTTTTTTTCTCTCTCCCTTTTTAGTCTTTTTCACCCTAAGTAACTTCCTGGGATTTGTTTTTTGGGTGGAAAATGGATAGAATCTTTACCAAAGGGACCACTTAGGCATCCCCAGGATGGCGAAATAGGGAATGGAAGGGACAGCACGGAGGGGAAGGCGTCTTGCCGTGGTTTTCAAGAAGAGCCGCCGCGGCGACGGCGACCTGGCGCTGGTGGACCTTTCCTTCTCGGCCTACGCCTGGAGCCCTCTGAGCCTGGGCTGGACGGGCAGCGGTGGCGTCGACGCGCCCTCGAGGACCGCATCTCGCCCGCCCCCTACCTCACCGCACCACGCGCGTCCCCTCGGTGGCCTTCAGGGATGCGCTGCCCAAGGCGCCGCGCGTTTCTCAGGACCTGTTGTGCCAAAGCAGGGAGGGGGCTGGCTGTGCGCAGGACCGAGCGGTGGCCTTCAGGGAGAGGGCCTCGAGCACCGGCTCCCCACTCTCCCTCCCCGCCAGGTCCACCTCCCTGTCTGAGGGTTTGGGTTCTTTGCCCGACAGGTCCGCAGGCGTTTTTCTTCTGAGAACGACCCTGGCCTTGACCATCGGAGCAGGGGACCCAGGCCAGAGGCGGCTACTCCAGGCCCTGCGCGACCCTGCGCGCCCTCCCGCGCTCCTCCCGCCCCCGCGCGCCGCCCCCCCAAGCCCCGATGCCGGC